GGGAGCGCCTGAAGCCAAGTGTCTCCTCAGGGCTCCGGTTGCAGGGAGGAGCCCTGACTGGCCGCACGTGGCTGCGCCAAACGCCGCGGCAGCAAGGGAGAAGGGAAAGCAACGGTGGCCCGAACCCGAAGGTCTCCCGAATATCCAAGCTGTCGCCGCCCGCCCACCCACCCGAGGATGCAAGGGGGGAGAATTAAGTCACCCCCCAAAAAGACGTCCTAGCCGTTTTTTCGGGGGTCAAAAAAAAATAAGGCCCGGCCTTATTATGTGAGAAACACGGTATTTCTTTGAATCTTTGTGAGCCATTGTTGCTGGCCTATATCCCCTCTTTGACATCTTTTAGTCAAACACAACCAAAAAGCAGTTAGTGCTGTGAAAATAGCAGAGATTTATTGATGTCTCTTAGTTTTGCTACTATAAAAGGCAAAAAGGTGTAATAATGAATATAACAAACAATTCAGTTGACCAACACTGAAAATTTCATTTTCTTAAAGATAGAAATACACAAATATATTGAATTGTATACTCAATACAAGAAGTACTTCAGATTCTTTTTTTTTTAGAAATGCCCATTTTTAGTCCCAATTCCATAAAATACCGAATTCTTAAAAGTCATAGAATGCGCTAAATTTGATATTTAGATTGCTTGATAATAAGTTTATAATCTGACCTTGGTAAGAAAGCAATGCATATTTATGCCTACTGACACAGTACATTACATTCATTCATAAGCTTACTCTTTGGCATGAAAGCAAATAATAAAGTATTGTTCTTGGCAAATATCATATGAGACGTTTTGGACTGGAGCCTAGAAGCAAAACTGAAAAAAAAAAAAAATTCTAACTTTCAGTATGCCTGCAAGATTTTACTGTCTTTCTTTTGTACAAAAAGACAAAAGTCCTTTAGAACATTTCTTGTAAAGGATGGCAATTATTTAATAATTGTGATATTTTCCAAGATGACTACATTTTTTTTAATGCTTGATAGATTTTCTGTACCTTGCAGAGGCTCAACAATAATATTGGAATAATTATTTGGTTTTGGGAGCAGCATAAAAAGATATAACCCTTGACTTTTCACTGCTAACAAGATAGTACAGAGAGTGGATCATCATTCTGTTCCATTTCTTATCTTAGTTCTACTTATACTCTTGCTCCCGATTCAGTCAAATTATATCGTTAGAATTTGCTTACATATATCAAGCAACATTGATCCTCATATAAATAAGTGCATATCAAAAAGAAGTCCCTATAACTTTATTTCTGCATTGTCTTCATTCTTCATATAGCCAATGTTACTCCACTTGTATTTTCAGAGAAGACAATTTCAATTAAATAAAAGTTATCCTTTAGAGGAAGTAATATTTGATCATATTCAAAATAGGGGGAGGAGACAGGGAGGCTTGCAATACAACTTGCCCATTTAAATTATCTCTCTTGGAAACTTTTACAAATATTTGTTAAAGGGATTGTCCCAACAAATAAGTCACATTTGGCTATGTGAATATCGCCATATTATACAAAAGAGACATTTGTAAAGCATCAAACACCACATTTGTTGTGGATCCCAGAGTTCTGCAGTTAATCACTTAAACAAATCATTATATATGTTACAATGATCTACCCAAAATATTAATTGAGCTTTGATGTGAATCAGCAAAAGTTACAGTCAAAGTGGGAAGTATACAACACAGTAAGTAAAATATTTTCAAAAAGATGGGTTTACATGGATGTATGCTTATACATGCAGCATATTTGGGCATGCTGGGTGAAAAATAGGCCTAATACCCTCTGATGAATTCCTGATGCCAACTAATCCCTTTGGTTATCTTCAGGTTGGGTAGAAACATAGAAAACTAATGGCAGAAAAAGACATAGTGGTCAAGTCAGCCCTTTGAATTTTTTTTTTAACAAAGTTTTTTTGTTGGAGATGTGTTTATTCCAACTATGTTTAAACTCAGTTACTGATGACTGACCCACTTGGATATTTGAGAATGAAAGTCTAGCAGCAGTAGCATAGTCTTTGCTTTCTCTACTCTACCTGATAATGAAGTAAAAATGCATAGATATATAATATATGCATATAGGCTAGCATCCATAGCAGTGATAGTATTCTTCTGGTTTGGCCCAGTTTGGCCCGGTTCAGCCAAACTGGTAGTAAAAAAATTGCCAAGCTGATAGTAAAAAAATGCTACCAGTTCAGCTGAGCCGGTATTTCCAACTATCAGCTAAGTGTCCATCAGCTGTGCCGTGTGATTTAGATTAGCTAGAAAGCAGTAAATTGTTGGATTTCTTGCTTTCTAGCTAATCTAAACTGTGCAGCACAGCTGATTCCCCCCCCCCCCCCCTTTGCTTCAAAATGCATCTTTTTCCAGCACTTCCCTGAGGCCCACTAGGCCAAAAATGGGGCACAGGGGAATGCTGCATGCCCCCCTGCTCCATTTTTGCTCCCAGGAGGCTTCCCTGAGGCCCACTAGGCCAAAAATGGGGTGCAGGGGAATGCTGCATGCCCCCCTGATCCATTTTTGCTCCCAGGAGGCTTCCCTGAGGCCCACTAGGCCAAAAATGGTGTCCAGGGGTGCTGCAAAAGAAAAAAAGAAAGAGAAAGAAAGAGGGAGGGATGGGACAGGAAAAGAGAAAGAAAAAAAGAGAGGGAGGGAGGGAAAAAGGAAAGGAAGGAAGGACCACAAACCTTGGCAACTAGACCAAGGGTCTTCAAACTTGGCAAGTTTAAGACTTGTGGATTTCAACTCCCAGAGTTCCTGAGCTAACATGATTAGGAGGAGGAATTCTGGGAGTTGAAGTCCACAAGTCTTAAAGATGTCAAGTTTGAAGACCCCTGCACTAGATGCAGCTTCAGAGGATGCTTTGAAACAGCACAGCAATCCAGGGCTGGAAGGTACCTGGAGGTCATCTAGTCTAGGGGTTGCCAACCTTTTGGACCTCAGGGACCATCAAACTCATAATTTTAAATCCCAGGGACCACTAACCAGTTCTGTGGGTGTGGCCTAATTTGTGGGTGTATCTTGGTGGTCATGTGACTGGCTGGGCATGGCTTATATGTAAATATTATAAATATTTATATAAATATTGATTTTTTATAAAAAAAGAGCAACTTTTACCCAAAATCAGGCAAAGCAGGCAGGCAGATTGAGTTGCTCACAGAATTATTCAGTGATCTATCTATCTGCCATCAGCTAGCTCAATCTCTCAAATTTGCTTGCGTCTGCACTGATTAACAGAACCTTCAGTACTAAGGGAGGTTCGGCTGTGCTTAAAAGAAGAGCCGAAGATCTAAAGACTGGCTAGAAAGCAAGAAATGCAATGATTTCCTGCTTCCTAGCTAATCTAAATCTCCCGGCACAGCAGAACACCTGATGGTCAGAAAAAGGAAAAATAGCAATTTAGCAGGCAAGTTTGCTGGGCAATGAG